ATTATTTTATGTTTTGTTGATTTTATAAACACTTTAGTAGGAAAATCAACTCACTTTGTATTAGTTAGTGATTATGTTGGTTAATGCAGTACCTTTAATACATAATTTATCATGCTCTAACAAAAGGATGAAGTGGAAAATCTTAGGAAGTCATTCCAGACTGTCGAAATGAAATAATTATCTAAAAGTTCAAATAAAGAGTTGAACTACATGCTGTGGTCTTTTTCTATTTATTAACTTAAAACAGATTGATAGAAAAGAACTGTCAGTTATGGATAAAGTGTTAAGTTTAGTTACTGATAAGCTTAAAAGGTCCTGTAAACCTGCTTAGTTATCATGGAAAATTCCTGGAATTTTGTCAACCTAAAACTGTGGGAACCATTTTTATAAAAGATAACAAATTACATTGATATAATTTAGAAAATGCTATAATTTTTATATTTACTTTTTATATCAGCTATTTATAAGCTTTCTGATATTTTTTCATCCACCAACAGAAGGAAGGATCTTCTTGTAGTGTAGGGATATAATGAACAACTATAATTTCCAGTGTAAAGAATACTTTAAAAAGTGTTCACAGGATTTAGGAAATTTTATTGGAAACTACAACCATAAATGGATGTTATACTGCACAAATTATTATAGGTGAACTTGCTTTCTTATAAAAGATTGTAACAAATCGGACTGACGTACTAGTAGCGCTTCAACATTAGGATGAAGAAATTAAAAAATAATTCCATACAAGACTTAGATGTCTGGCAAAACATTACCTGTAGGTTGCTTTAGTTGATTGATTAATGGCTTTTTGACGAAGATATTGCATAGTCTGAGGCAGTTTTTAAGAATTCCCAGTAGTTTTTAGGATTTATTCTTGATTTTGTGATTTTATTTGATATATGAAGAGACAAGTTTGTAAAAGCTTGTTTATCATTGTAGTATTTTCAAGTAAAAACTGATTTCCTGATAAATATCAAATAGGTGGACCCACTAATGACATCAGGTTCATTCAGATTCTGAATCTGATTACTTAACTGGGTGTTCTTAGTGTGTGTAATGTAAGAAGACTAGACAAAGTTGGTAAAAATGAAAACCATTTTTATTAATATTGAACAAACAAAAAGAAAACATGTGTACTTATTTCCTCACATGAAAAGGCAGTTGCTTTCTTTCTCTCAAGATCAGTTTACATTGAATTAAACATGATGATCTTGAAGTAAGTTTTTACTCAGGAATCTCCTAGAAATAATGCTTGGTTTCTTTGTCCAGTATACAACATCACCTCATGGGCCTTTGTTCTCTCACAGCATTGATTGGCTGTTCCATTTAGACAATGTCTACTTGGCCAGTAAAAGATATTACATTGCTAATACTTTCAACCCTGATGCTATATGTTACTTCAATATCTTCTCAGGCAGAATAGACATTATGTACTGTAAAGAACAAAGAAACAAAACTATCTCGGTGACTTTCTGGACGATGTGTTTATTGTACAAACCAATAAATGTGAATGTTTTTTATATTCCAATATCACTAAAGCAGGTAGAAAACACATGATATGCCTGCACATCATCACATTGTGTAATGTTGTTGTCTGTAATAAAAAAAATTTATATATGTATATATATTTATTTTACATAATAACTTTTTAAACACCTTTAATTCTCTAGTTTAACAGATGGTTTTTATCATTCGTACTGACGGTTATAGAGAAAGTTATACATTATGATATTCTATAGATTTTGTAACAAATTTCAGCTTGGTCTTATTGTTTCAATTATATTAAAAATACTACTATCACAATTTAGTGTAAACATCCATCAGTACTGAAATCTGAAGGAACTGCTGAGGTTTTTTCTAAATATATGTAAATTACATTATTTTAGTGGTATATAAAATACATGCTTCTCCACTTCTTGGTTCATTCAGTCTTGTTAAAAACTAACTTAGCTTAGATTACAAAATTTTTCATATCTGTTTCATGGCCAGGTGGTTAGGGCGCTCGACTCGCAATCTGAGGGTCGAATCCCTGTCACACCAAACATGCTCGCCCTTTCAGCCGTGGGGCATTATAAAGTGATGGTCAATTCCACTATTCGTTGGTAAAAGAGTAGCCCAAGAATTGGCGGTGGGTGGTGATGACTAGCTGCCTTCCCTCTAGTCTTTCACTGCTAAATTAGGGATGGCT